AAACAAGACGCAGACGTGATGAATGTCTTTGTGGGTGGGAGTGAGTCCACTTGCGCGTCCCACATTTCTATATCAAATTAGCCGGTGTTGAGCTCCTTTAGCATCCCGCATTATAATATTACATAACCCTACTCTAGATCCATGACTTGACCGGATGTGGGAAAGCTGGTTAGAGGTTTGAGCGGTCGAGATGAAGCCATATGTGCGCTACAGTGCTGGCGTCCAACACTCACGAAATAGGGGGTTGAGTAGAGAAATATGGAGGATATCACACTTTAAACAAAAGCTTAAAAGTAGCGAGGTCGATGATCAGGATTAAAGAAAAGGCTTCTCTGATAATTGGGGCATATGTTGCAATGGACGAGAGGGGCAGGATAGGTGTCAGAAGAAACCAAAAGGAATAATACCAGTAAGTCGGACACCGAAAAGAACCCCAGCAGAAAAGAGACAGATGGGGCAGATGAAATGAGAAGGAAAGCGTGGGGAAGCACCAATCAACCAGAGAGTGTATACCGGGTGCATGGGGGAGGGGTATGCTTGATTGAGAAGCTTGACTAATGCCTCGGGATTTGTTGGTTTGGGAATGAGGGTCCCCCCGTTCCACTGCGATAGTAACTTTACTCGTACTCGTACAACTCCCCCCACTAATTCCAGAGAGCTATAGATAGTGACTCCACCGCTTAGATCTTTAGAATCGGGATTAACGTCACTCTACCCCAAAAGCATTTTTACAACTCCCTCATACCAGTTCTTGGTGGCCCACGGGAGGTGTTGAACCTCAATTTTTTATGATGACTGGATTGACGTCGTCCAGTTTCAATAGTATCCTCACAAATCCTTCACGGTGCTCGCCCCCACCTCCACTATTGGGACTAGCATCGTCACCTTCCAATAGCAACCCCGCAATTCCCTCATGATCGCAGCCAATGAGAGTGAGTGGTGCCGAGCAAAACCAGCTCCAACACCCATCAGTTCCAACAGGAGCTCCACAACTCCCTTACGCCGATACACCTAACCCACATGAGGGCCCTTCGGCCATATGTCTGGTATCCGTTTGTAGTAACTTTATTCGTTGTGTTGGGCTCAGCATCGTGTCGTTGTAATAGCAGCCCCACAACTCCCTCGTCATCGTTCTCGGTAGAGTACTTATGGAGGTACCGTACAGCGCCTAAGTTTTGTATGTTACACTAGTAGTGAGTGTTGTGTGAGCCACCTGTGTAACATACAAAACTTGGGGGCTGTTCCTCCGTAGGGGGTGAGCATAGGTGAGGCGAAGGGAGTTCCATAGGTTAGAATTTGGTGAGTGTAGTGGCACGTTTTTGGAGGTGAAAAAAGTCAGGCGAACGCGAAAAATTCTGACCCTACTATAGAATCTTCATGAAAATCTACTCTCATTGGCTAAGTGACCCAGGAGCCAATGAAAGCCAGTTCGCCTCACTTACCCTCAACACCCGGTACAAGTACGGAGGTACAGCTCCCAAGTTTTGTATGTTACACCAGTTGCTCACACAATGCCCACTGCGAGTGTAACATACAAAACTTAGGCGCTGTACCTCCGTACCCGAGTACGTATCATACCGAATATTAGCCCTGTTCTACCTCCCTTGTCAGCCGCACAGAGACATCGTATTCTAGAAAGGGAGTTGTGGGGTGGGGCCAAAGAGAGATGAGGCAAAAGGCGCCCGACGCACTGAGAATTGAGGCAGCCTATGCCAAGATAACCTTGGCAATGACCGAATTAGCATTCAGGGAAGGGTGGTGTTTGCGCCGAGATGCCCTCGGAGAGTCAAAGGCAGGACAGACCCCCCGATAAGGGTGAATCAATTGCAGCCAATCTAAGGGAGCGACCCCGCGATGTTCGCATGGAAGGGGCACTGCCGATGCCTAGATCGGGGTCCCGATTTCTGCCCCAGATGATGACATAGCTCGTTCGGCTGCAATAGTCTATCCGAATGGGGGATCCACATATTAAGAGCTTCCATACCTAGCTATGACTTTACTCCCCCCCTACGCCTTTATCTCCTCGAGCGTCGGGATGCGTGTCTCCAGCACCGTGGTTCTTTATCATGTCGTTGAGCTTTTCGTCATTTCTTCTAGAATCGCTGCCATGTTGAGCGAAACCAATAAAATGCTCTGCACCCCAACCGGGCATACTTAATTAAACCCGATCTCCGATCTCCTCCTCCTCCAGAATAATACTCATTATCTTGTCTCCAGGGTGATTGTTCATTACGTTTGTTTCGGTTTCCCTGTCCATTTCGGCCTCCATGTGCTCCCCCGATATCTCCTCTAGTCGGACTGATAGATAGAGAGCGACCAAATTACGTGGGTGGGGGTATTTCTCAACCCCACCCCGGACACGAGGCCTCCCGGGTGGGAAGCGCCTGACATCCGGGGAATCCCGAGTAATATCTCATAAAACGCGAAGTTTGGCTTGACGATCCCCAGATGATTCGTCCAATGCATCAATGCATATGAAACTTGCTTTCGAGACGCAAAAGACCATTTTACCATTTGGGGGTTTGGAAGTGGTGGGCTTATGCAGCCAAATTGTTCTTGGCGTTTTCAGGAGCCTGGTATGGATAGCTAGCTAGGTTGATGCTCTCTCGTCACTGTGGGTGTGAGGAACTGGTTGATCTAGCTCTCTTACTCAGGTTTTCCGAGATTAAGATGAATAATCATTCTTGACATAATATTATCTTACCCTACTCAGAGGTACTAGGCCCGGCAAGACACTTTCTTGGCAGAGATTCCGCCCATGCGCAGCTTGGGAGTTACTATTGGCTGACAGACTCGCGACGGGACTTGCTCGGTTTCCAATTGTGGACTTTCGAATCCGGAAACGGGAAAAGGCCGGAACAAACATTGAGATTGACAATTCGTGCTGCGGTTACAGTGATCCGAAGGAGCAGGCATCACTACGCATCGTCCCTAGTTTCCCAAAATAAATTTATTGCAGGATGAGGAGTGTTGTCCCTGGGTGCTGCCAGCAGCATGAATGAGTTCTGCAACTTGGGAGGATATTCAAATTTATTTCTTAGAAACCTCCCTCACTTGCCTAAGCTTTCCTGTTGCCACAGCTCTACTACCGGATTCCATCACTGCGCCAGAACTACTGCTTCTTCGATATACTTCTTGCCCCCGGGGAACTCATACTTACGAGAGTATTACACCACGTGGATGCGGAGGCTTCCTCAGTAACGCTAATGAAGAAATATGAAAAACATATCGCTGCTATTTTTCCCTCCCGTGGATAAAGCTAGCAGACTTGAATGGATATCTTAGCCACTGCCAGCTTACTGGGTCGCATTGCGCTAGCATCAATCCTCGGGGTATTGCCAAATTTCCTTTCTAATCACAGTCTAAAGGTGGCGATATAAACACCCGGGTGATTAGCAGCCTCATGCCCTTTCTATGAATTCCTGTGAATGCCCATTAGGGCGCTGTGGGATAGTTATTCTACCAGAAAAGCGTTGATGCAGATATAGCGGATAACCTGAGTCGGGTCCGGCCCCACTGGGCTGATCGAGGTGTCAATAGGGACTTGGATCCAGCTTTGGCTCACTCGGCGGTATATTTTCCGTGACCCCATTCGCGGCCAAGTCCAACACCATTCTCATGAGCCACGGAGAGTGAACCCTAGGATATCTCGAAACTACTCTTGAATTCGGCCAATGATACCCCCGGGAAAAAAAGGGCTGGACAATAATGACAAAAAACACTACTCTGCTTGGCTCGCAGCAAGGGTAATGTGGGAACTACAGATATATCCCCTAAGCCTGCTAGCCGACATGAGCTAGGGGTGTCATCGGGTCACCAGAGGACCGACTCCAGGATCTTAAGATATAATCTTACTGAAGCATATTTCTTCCCTTAATACCTTACCGGGCAAGCGCGTGACTAAGGCTTAGGACCTACTATCCCGGGAACTCCATTTCACAGTTGAAAAACTTCTACAAGTGGGATTCCTTGAAAATCTGTATCCTTTTTGAAAAAATACTCCCCGTTGTTTAATTGGAAATACCGGCTTCTCCCTTCCACGACACCCTCTTTAAATGTCGGCGGGACTTAGTAGTGTCACTTTAGCTACCGTCGAGCGTATCGGGCTAGAGGCGGCAAAACGGCGCAGCCTTTCATAGCATGGTTAGCGCGGAGAACCTGTGCATTTCGCAATGAGCATTGGGCCCCAGGGATTGGTATGCGATAATCAAGAGTCCTGGAGACCATTTAGGACCGGTGGGAGCGGGACTTCAGACCTAGAAAGGACAGCAGTGGTCATGGAAGCCCACCGGAGAAGCAAAAATTACAGGCAAAGGCTAGTGGAAAATAACATAGGTTGTGTCAGCGGATTGAGGAAACTACGGGAAGCGTGTTTCATATTTCATAGCCATACAACTATGATAACACAGGCGAGAAAGATTTAACGAGTGATGACATGTGCTGCACCCCCCCCCCTCCTTCAAGACCCGCAGGACGTCCATCCTTTCTCGTAAATGGTGTAAGGAATTCGCATACCGTAAGAACCCGAATAATTGGACCTCGAGCTTAGACGTCTAAAATTCCCTCTCTTGGATAGGGGGGGGGGATGTGAAATTCAAGAATACTTAGTGACTTCTTCCCCCCCCCTACACAGCCACTAGTTAGAGCAAAAAAAAAAAAAAGTAAAAAGTGCCTCAACTTACGATACCAGCAAATGCGACTCCAAGGTTCTATCCGAGCCCCTGCGGCATCATATACGGAGCCAGAAATGCAACAGGGGGCTGTATCATAGGTCTGCCTACCCTCTCGGGACTCAATGATAGGCGGTCCGGATCGCCCGGATTCTACCTCAATCTAACCCAGACCTGTAGGCAACCCTCCTGGGAAAGATTCACCATAGGTATGATGCTATGCTCGAGTATCATATAATCCCATGATAATCGTAACCGGGTTACGTCCGAGCCATAGTTGCGCATTGGATATAGTGTTATCCCACTTTTCTCAGAACCCCACTTTAGCCCTTTTCTTCTCCAGTAAAGAAAGCAATATTTATTCTAGTTAATAATTAGGATCGCAAGAGAATAAAGAAATCATGTATATCCATCCATCCATCCATTACTCAATTCCTTCGCCTCATCTATCAACTTTGTTCCACAACCTGCGGTGGGGATCCACCCCCGTTCAACAGCCCCCCAACCACAGAACACCCAAGACTAATCACCATCACAGCCAATCACCCACACCTACAAACCTACTCATAGAATAAATCAAGCCCAAAGTTGGCCGTGCACCCAGGTCTAGGAACTGCAACCGCCCCACTAAAAAAAATCCCACCAAAGTCAATACGGAAACACTTCCCTTCCATTCCTACAAAAGAAAAAGGGAAAAGAAAGGAAGAAGAAAAACAAGAAGGAGAAAAAACTTACAAATAAAGTGTATACTCCTCCGGCCCCCCACAAGCGGACCAAGCACCCACATTCTCATTGTATCCAAAGATGTAACGAACCGCCCCAGGCTCGGTAGCCCGCGCGTCCACCGTGAAATTCGTGGACAGCGTCAGCGCCGGAGCAGGATCATTGAGGGGGTTCCCCAGCTTGGCAAAGTAAAGGCCGCCATGCGTCGGGCGGAGGTACATCTGGAGTGTTGTGTGACGGGTGTAAAAGGCGATGCCCTCGGTCGCGTTGTACTGGATGAAGGCGCTAAGTTCTTCGGCCCCGCTAGTGAAGCCGAGGTTGCCGTCGGTTGTTCCGTCCCACGTCACTGTGCGCCCGGCGAGTCCGGTGGGGGCGCTAGAATCGGCTTTTAGCTTGAAAGAAGCAACGCCCGGGATTGGGCCTGTGGCCGGGGCGGGGGCGGCCGCAGCCATGGTAAAGGCGGCGGTGAAGAGGGTCAGGGCGGTGGAGATGAGGGTGGTCTTCATTTTGGGTCTGTGTCTGTCGGTTTGTATTATATTTATAAATCGAATTGGAGATTAGAGTGAGTGGCGGCACGAGTGTGTTTGAGCGTGAGAGTAAATTGCTGGATTGGATGTGAAAGTAGGAGATGATGGTAGTCAAAAAAAAAAAAAAAATGCGGATAGAAAGCCTACTTTATAGCTTTGCCGGAGCAAGTACTTTGCACTTATCGTGAGTATAGCATGATACCAGTATCCGTAATTACTCGTTATAGTTTCAGTAACTAGTAAGGGTGATGACTGTGATCAAGTTCTGGGGGCTCTAGCTTACCTCTGAGTGTACATCAGCAGAAGTAATGCTTATTTCTCCAGTTTAGTCAATAGTAGATCCTTGCCAACCTTCCTTCTTTGTCTTCCCTTCTATCGCTACGCCACGAAATGCACACCAATTAGCCAAATCGGCCTTCCAAACCCACCCAAGTACCGTCCACCATACTCTTAACTCTCCTGTCGATTTCTAAGATCGAGAAAATATTAATCAAGCCGGCCAGTTAACAGAAAGCACATCGGCAATTCAGTTATGGCAGTGCCTCAAACCACCAAAATCCACTCCTCCATAGTACCTCTAGTCTTCTTTGATCTCCCACGCAGCAACCGCCTCAACTATCCCAGCAACTCTCGAGGAAAATACCAACACCCCAAGAATTCACTCTAGCACCGTCGGTACCACAAACTATAATACAGGGAAGTCAAACCTCCAACCCATCTGAAGAAATACCATCACCACCATCACCATGATTAATCGTCCCCTACACAATACGAGTCCGGGCCTTCAAAGGCCCCTAGTACTGTACCTCCAGGTTTACTTTTCCTTTCGCGCCCCCCCTCTCCTGTACAAGTACCATAACCCTTAAATCCCACGGCTATCATATCCGCTCAATCCCGATTACACGGGAGATTAGCGGCACTCAATGGAACCAGCACTGCCGGATATGTGTGGCAGGGGGAAGGCAAGAGTTATGGAGAAACACCAGGCGAGAAATCGAGTGTTCCTTTTGACCGGAAGGAACGAAGAGTGGGAGCACCACCAATTCCCAAACTCTCCTAGACCCAAAGGGGGAAGGACCCTTCGACAAAGCTTTGGCGGGCTTCACCTGTTCTGAGGGAGCATCAAAGGCCAGAGGGGGGGGTAGAGGGGTTGGGGAGATTGGGGAACTCAAGACCGGAACAGGGATGAGCGGATCAAGATGTGCGAAAAAGTGTTATTCCGGGGGTAGGTGAGGAGTGATGATAAAGAGAAAGTAGTTTAATCGAAAGGATAGTATGGAGATGTGCCATAGTCATTTGGCACATGCATAAATGAACAATAATAGAAATCAGTTCAGATCTCCCATGATATCACCCACCGCCGATCGATCATGGTGCCAAAGCTTGTTGGGGGTAAACAAACCGGTATCTGTCAATAATCCGCCCGTACGAGTACAATTAAAAGACTCCAAGCAAGGGCCAAGTTATTTATAACTTTTCACCCATGCCAAAGAAACATTAACCACAACCAACTTAACGAATCGCGCTTCCACCCATCCATCTATCCACCTACCCCAATGACCCACTCAAGGTACGGGAGAAACTCGCTCGCTGTTTCCCCGCTGCTAACACCGGGGTGCCCTACCTAACCCATCGGCACCCCCGCCCGCTCAAATGTAGATCGTTATAATTCGGGACATCCTGTCGCGCTTGGTCTACTTGGAGGAATAATTCTCGGTTTACCAGACAGGGAAGGACGATTGGCACAGTACTCGAGCACCAATACTGCATTCCCTTTGGCGCCTATTGCCGAGGATACCCTGACTGTTTACTAATTTGTTTCATTCCGAACCACGGAATGGCAAATAATAGAAGCAGGATCCAAATTATTGATGAGTACCATGACGTCGTTCGAGTCGTAGTACTCGTACCAGTTAGTTAAGAGCTACGATACTATTGGAAGGGGAGAGAAAAAAGTCGAATAGTTAGTTGCGCACTCATGTGCAGTACCGGTACTCGAGTAGGCGTGGTGTGAGACGGGTATTCGGTGCCGTCCATCCCGCGTGGTATTGTACTGTAACGGTTTGGGTGCATATTAGTAGATTTTTGTGTTAGTGCACAGCGCCCGAGTGAGGGGTTGTGCGAAATCTCCTAGGGGTTGGTGCACAGACATGTTTTGGGGTCAGCCCTATGGCCTGACTACCGTAGTATGATACTGTAAATACAATCCCCTATTGTCCCGGATCCCGATGATCTGGATGCCTCGCTATCTCGTATGAGTCTCTGTAAACCCTGAATTTCCTTCCACCAAAGCCTGACCCGTTGTCCCGGATCCCTCGCTGTGCCGGACGGATTCTTCGGGGGCGACCGTAGTTTCTTGGTCAAGAATAAAGAAGGGAATAAGGAAAGAAGATGAGAGATGAGACTAGTCAGTTGATAAATTCGAACGCTAATGAACTAGGCAATAGAGTGAATCTTCCCCAAGTTCAGTGGCGCTCCGAGCCACGTTTGACGGGAAAAATCGGGCATTCAAGGTATAAACGAGGACTTGGTCACAGCGTACTCGAGTACGATGGCAGGTTAGCTAATCGCACCGCGATTCCCCAGCTAACGGAGAATAATACGACGTACACCGGGGCGCTAGATCATACGGAAGATTACAAAGGCCCTCCCAATAAATAAAGCTAGAGATTACTCCTCATATCTTCCCGGCAATAGGAGGTATTGTAAAGGGCTGGAGCGGCGTTTGTAACACCCTCGGAGATCAGTTTTTGTTTTGGGGGGGGACCGGAAGCATGCGGATGTTGTACACCTTTTAAGGTTCCTTGGGGGGTTTTGGGCACAATATTACCCCGAGAATTGGATACCCCAATTGAGACTTTAGGACTTGGTATCAAACGGGTAAAGGTAGAATTCCTTCAGAAAACGCATACCTAAACCTGGATTAGAGGTCGTGGGCGGATAATGGAAGATTATACTTGACTCCGGAAGCCGCGGGAGTCTAGTGTATCGTTTAGGGACTGTATGGATTGTTTCGGAGCCACAGCGATTCATGGAGAAGATTCTCCGGACGTCGTTCCCCCGCCGTCACGGGAGCGCGCGGAGGAATAGGGACATGCGTGGAGACACAGAGGTTGGGGTAGTGATCCATGGAGGGATCAGAATGCTTTGGTTGTATTTCATTTATACGCCTATCTTTACCGTTAGTTTTTTTAAGGCGACGAAGAAGTCTGGGAGAAGAAGAGGACAAAGTTGTCGACCACACCTCCCATATCTCTCCTGCACAGTATCCAAGTTCCAAGAATTCCCTCATCCAACTGCTGAGCCACCTATCCCCCACCCTAATAGCCAGATCATCTTCAAAAGGTATTTTCATACTCCCTTCAGATAGAGATTCCAGAAACATTAATACCGATTTCTCCGGCTATATTCACAGTGGGTCGTACTCATGCGATTGCCCTCTAGATGGCCACTACCGCTAGCCAGACTTCAATCCCTAAACTGGGGTGCGCGCCGGTAGCGAGGATTGGAACCTCGGCACTTCCGAGAAATAATTGCAAAGTATCTTTAGACCTTGTGCCCTCAGCTAGTTCGATCATCGGAGGAGTATACGGTGGTCCGTGACCCCAGAAAACTGATATACACGATAATATTATGTAAGAATGTGGTGGGAAACGAGGGTTGACATAGTCTAGTATTTCTTCGGAAGCTGTCATAATCAGCGCGGTGGGTGGAGGTGGGGTAGAGTTCCAATACCGCTACCAAATAATCCAACCCCCATTCCCTCCTTATCTAGTAAATTTACAGCACTGTTTGCCCCGGGCCGACGCGAGACATTCCACTATAAAACCCCCACAACCTCATCCCCCGTCCCGCCATTACACAGGCGACCAAATCCTGCCTGTTAGATTAGAGGCGTTCGTGGGCTACATCCATACTGTTGCCCATGCGTTCCTTGTTGGCTGGAATGTTGACACGACTTCTGGTAAAAAGGGAGGGGGACCAACATTGCCTTACAACCGAGATGAATGCACATCGCTTCATCTGGGCGACCCTTTCTTCGATACCCCCTATTGTATTTTCTGGATTCATCTTGGAGGGACTTTTCGACCGTATCTCAGTATTTTGCTCGATGCTCACATTTTAAGTACGAAATTCCCGAGCAACCCTCCCATTTTGATGCCGAGGTGGAAGTGATATCCTCTTTTGAGACACCACTAGCAAAGCAAACATCCCGTGAAGTAGAGAGGAGCGAGTGCAATGCCAAGCGTGACACCAGACTCCATATCAAATCCAGGAATCTATTATCATTGGCGGTCAGTGCCACGAAATTATTCCAGGCTCGTAGTTAGAGGTAGCTCTGAAATAGAGTCATGCATGCTCAAGTACTCTGTCAGCTAGAGAGCATAGGAATCACCTCCGTTAATTCCCGAAGTAGGCCAACCTTCATCGAAGCATCCCCAATGATTACTAACACTGTCTTAACAAGCCGGAGGCAAAATAGTCGTTCGATTTCACTAATCTATAAACTTGACGCCCTCTGTGCGGTAGGGTCTCGGAACAGCCTCAATACCGACATTGAGCAGAAAATAATACCTCCGAGAAGGCCCAACAAGGCAATATCAGAACCCCCCTCCATAAGAAAGAAAAAAAGCATCTGGGCCCATGCCCAAGCAATTGGCAAGACAATAGTATTCCCCGATAAAACTCTCCCTAATGACCAGACCAGGATGAGAGATGATAACGGTAGGCACAAGGTCAGTCTAACCAGCCAACGCGCTATGAAAGTGATCTTCAACTTCGCTTTTACCATGCAAGCCACCTTGGGTACCCGTAATTTCCATGCCTCTAACTTGTATATCGGTATTTTCAGTCATGTGCCCCATATGGCCCACTCCCCGGTTTGCTTCTTTAGTCATACCCACGCGACTGCAAACGTTCCCGGACAATTCCTGACCGCAGCCCTCGGCACGGTCTCCCTCTGACGGTGAGTAGCAACGGGGCGAGGTATTAGAACTAGTACAGAGCGAGCACTAAAGCAGTCATTAAATTAGTATTTTTCGTTGATCAAAAACACCTCAACCCCCGAACAGGACATATCCTATGGAACAATCCAAACTAGGAAACCCTTACGGTAGTATCTGGGCCCTTGACGGAGAAACTTGCGGGACCCAGTTCCATGGACTGAAGCTCTCCAGGAAGGTCTCCTGCCATTCCGCTCACTTTAACTGGCGCGCCCAAAGGTACATGATCAGGAGATCTAGTGCCGCAGCGGTAATGACGCTTTGCCGTCTTCACTAGTCTTGATTGGGGGTTCCTGCGTTCGCCTTGATCCAGCCAATTCTCATACGCCGCCTCTCCTTCATACGGGGCTGCCCCCAATCTAGGTGAGAACGGAAATCCAACGTTGGCTGGTGCTTCAGGTAAACTCCTGGGAAATCTAAAGGAAAACTGATTGTGGACCAGCGGTACCCGCTCCTCCCCACTAGGGGCTGCAGAACTCTCTCCCAACAAAGAGCGCGGTTGACGAACATCAACTAACGACAACTGAAGCTTAGGCTCTGTAGAAGAGACGGCGGATAGTTTCTCCCGATCGAAAGAGCTTGAGGTGCTGCTTAAACCTTTGTCATTCGGATACGGCAAACTGGCACCACAAAACCCATCTGGGATCGTTGCATTTTGATTCTCGGATCCCTCCGGCGCAGTAGAAATACCAATACCCATTTCATGGTCGACAGAATCTGGAATCTCCTCCAACGTGCCTTTGTTAGAAGAACCGAGCTCTTCGGTGTCTGAATAATCGTCGCACGAGGAGCACCACGGTCCCCATAAGGGCGAGAGCCCCCCAAGGCGGAACCCCAGTAGGGGAAGCTTGGGGCGAGACTCTTCGGAAATGCTTATTTCAGCCTTCACCCGAGCGTTCGAATCACCCGTATCAGGGGTTTCTAAACCATGTCACTCAGTCAGCACAAACCCCCTCTCCATATATCCCTCTTAGTGCACTACCATCAATCTCCTTCCAGTTGTGTTCCCCCTCTCTAAGCGCGGATTCCAGTCCATCCGTAATATGAACATCAGATTCATATCTTGGCAAGGCACCATCCAAAGTGGAACCCGCCGAGGAGTATATATCCATCATACCACCGCCAAAATCCATTCCATTGTCGGGCTAGCAAGCAGCGTAAGTTACCACTTCCTTCAATATTATCAATCACAAAATTATAACTTGCCTCCTGATCGGGTAGAGCCCCCCCAAAAATTTGGGACCCCTTTTCTTCCTTTCGCCCGGAGACAAAACCACTGATCCTGTTGAATTCCATGACTGAGTAGGTATGATAGTAGTTTTTTTCTTTTACCGCAAAAAGGGGGAGAGCTTTGGAGTTGTGAAGATAGGTATAGTAGGTAACTTAGCGATAAGGGGTTGGAGTTGAATGGAAGGAAGGGGTCGAGCATGAAGCGAGAGCCATGCAACTAGTATCCCACCGCACCGTATTGCTTACTCGTCACGTAAAACATAGCAACCCATCAGGCGAGCACACGCAATCCAGCATGATACCCTCTTGGGGAAGTTTGCGAAGTTCGCCGCTATTCTGCCTATCCCGAAATATTTGTCGACAAACTTATCATAACATATCACTCGTTTATTGTACCGGGAGATGTGTGGAAACCAGACACTGTCCATGGCTGCAACAAACGACATCACTTTAGCCACCAAACACCCCCGCAACTGCAAAAATTCCAAAGATATAAAAAGAGACACTGAGAGCTAAACTACTAGTACATTCCACCATCGAGCTAGCGCACCATAGCTCTGGATACAAGTCACACCCATTGAAGCATACCCCCTATGCCAAAGCAACCAACTCCCCTCAACTCTCCGGCACTTCCCGCCTCTCCCAGATTCCCTTCCGATGCTCACATTTGAACAGTGCCCAAATTTTCTTAGTTGGATTGAGGGCAGGTGAGTGCGGTGGTCGCTTCACCCTCTAAATCCCATTCCGGATACGACACCGCCCAGAACCGAAAACAAGCCTGCCCTTTCCGTCTTTTCATCCTGATCCAGCTCACTTGCGAAGTAGAATCAATGGTTTGTGACAACCATTCAGAACCCAGTCCACAAGTCAACAGAGATTAGTCCTCCAGAAAAAGTAGGCCGTAGAAAATCCACCCTGTGGGCAGACTCAAGCCCTGATTGACCTCGTACCTTTCGTCGTGTTCTAACACGCATCCAAAACTTTAGCTCGCTCTATGACCGGCCTTCAGTCATGACTTGCGCCAGGCAAGCAAACAAGGAGATTGGCTTGGCACAGATACCTAACAACAGTTTAAGGCCTGGGCTTCAAACCAGCCGCATGCACGATACCGTACCAGCCACCATAGTTCGAGAGCATAAATACAGGCTGCGCTCAGCCTCGGATATCATGCCCGTTCAGAACCGGCTTCTTTTCCCGGTCGCGGTGGAGGATCGAGTTCACAAGTCCCTAATCAGTATTTCTCGATATCCGGAGTAGCATCTCTCGAGGTATCTCTTTCGCTAGCAATTCCAAGATGAAGTTCGATCACTCGTGCTTTCTCATTGCTTGTGGCTGGCCATTCGTCGCTTGCCTGTCGTTTGATCTTGAGGTAAATATGGTGCGTGTTGGGAGTGGGGGGGGGGTCTTGTTACCAAACGACCTCTCTTGCTGTATCAGTTTTAGTAGTTTTCCGTGTGTGTACCACGCAGGACCAAAACTCACGACCACCAAGACCCACCCTTATTTGACAATTTCGATTCATCAGTTACGATAGCATCATAAGCATGGATGATCGGTTTGAATCCTAGATCCCAGGGGTATCACAGTGGGTGGATTCCCTGCACCACTACCAGACCACCTCCGATCTATCAGCGGGTCCTGCAAGTACCAAATTGTCGCGCACCGGTAATAGTAAATCCATGGATGATCCCTTAGACTAACGTATTTGTACGGGGAAGTGGATCGGGCGCAGAAGAGAATCACCTTGTATGTGGGTTTTGCTTAAATCCTCACTATAAATTTCCGCAAAGCCGAACCTCCGAAGCCCTGCACTTGCTGTATTTCGTCTTCCCACCCAGTGTCAGCCGTTAATTGATATTCTTTTATTTTGATGTTTTTTTTGTGCGTTTTAACTGATTCACTTCCCCATCCGATCCGCTTTCCGGCCCAATACGTTAAGGGGAACTCTATTGCACTGTACAGCTGGTGAAAATCTCTTAACAGCCTAGCGCTACCTTTCCATTACTGTAAAAACCGGGATTAATTCTTTAGTGGGGAAGAAGAAAAAGATAGCGAAAAGATCATCTTTTTCAGCCCTCAGCTAGGACAAATAAAAAGATAGAGACAAATTCAGCAGACCTTAATACCGTAGGAGAGGCAACCCTAATGTCCTAGCGGTTCTTATGTACTGTACTGTACATCTTGTATTAGCACTGGCGGTTACAGTGGAAATACCATACCGGGTATGATAATATAAATATTATCGGATAATCCCCTGGTCGTTCCAGTACGCCTTTCACTCCTTAGCTCTTGAAAACATTTCTCTCGCTTTGTGTTATCAGTCGTCAGAAATAACAGAGCACTTCCAGCGTAATTTACCTAGAGACAAAACAAACGTGCATGATGTCGGCTTAATTCGTTGCTATGCGAAATCCCATACAATTCGACTGCCTTGGCATGGATTTTGACCTTCGCTTCATATGTCAGACCACTAGATTTCATAGGCAATTCTGGTGGTCCGACATTTAATCATGTGAATCTTTGGGTTAAACTCTCTGTATAAACATTAATTACTAAATTTTCTAATTATTTGTTGCTAGATATGTACGCACTGAAAATTGGTCTTCTGTATAGAAAACCGGGGGGCACATTTCTTCTGCCACCAGGATTGTAAATGATAATTTGCTTCGTGAATGGGGATCTCGAGTGATTAATGGGGCTCTTGTTGCCACCCGACACTATTTTACCCGCAAAGCCAGATCACCGCTGCTCATACTAGCCAAAGGGTACTTATGAAAAAGGCAGGGGAATTCGACGGTATCAGCACCATGGGGATATAAGTCCTAGCATTATAAGCACAATATAACCCGGAGTTTTCCTACACAACGGACCGAAACGATCCAGCGATAATGCATCCAAGCTCTTGGTTTCTAGAGCCTTCCATTTCCTCCTGTGCAATAGCTCAATAACTCCGCAGGACCGCGCCGCTGAGCCCGTGGTAAAAGTTATTTCAATAAGGCACTTGCAGAAATAACCCAAACTCAATAGCCGACAAAACCGAGTGACAATCCATGCACCTCATAACTCACCAGAACTTTTTGATTAACTTAACACCATCGTTTCCAAATATCATACGATATCGGGATATTGTGATTCGTCTAGTCAAATAATCACGACCTACGCTAAGAACCACAACCGCCGCTTGCGCAAGAAAAAAATTGAGACAAAGAAAGTGATGGAGAGAAGGACGGAAAATAAAAAAGGAAACGATCCTTTGGCCCTATTTTTGATCAATTCAAAGTCTCATAAGTGGCCATCAAGCTCCCCAGGAACGTGACAATCAACCTAGACCTGACCGCGACGATGTCTTCGGGTACCAACCTGTGCGCCATTTATTAGCCGTCACCGCCAAGAGGAAGGGGGGATATTGCGGGGAGCAAACCAAATAGTAGCTCCCATCTTCCTCGCGATTGAGATGCTCAATTTCGCGTTCAGATAGGCCTCTTCATCAGTTCTACCACTTGTAACGAGCGAGTAGTCGACGTAGTTACTCTTCATGCCGTTAAGTACGTCCAAAAGAAACACTCCACTCCCCAAACTAGGATCCTTGAAGCTTCTGATTCCCTGCGCCTTCCCACCACTCCTGGCCATATCGTTGGCCCATTTGAGCATGTAAGAATCCGATATTTCTGATACACCAACCCTCTGCGCGAGGGATTGCAAGGTGCGTGTAATGTCGCGACGCATCAACTGCCAGGTGATGGCAAGCGTAAGAGTGCGCTGGCCATCGGTGATGTCTGCACCCTGGATACCGACCAGAGAAAATCGATTTTGCTTCCCGAGTTCGACAGCATAGTTTGTGTTTTCTACGGCCTTGAAGCGCATGAGCTCCCCTCCATGAGAGGGTGCCTTGTTGACATGGCGCCAGTTTACCGAGCCCGGGATGACTTTATCATATGCTTGTAGAAGAACAGTTCCATCACGGAGATCATCAAAGAGAGAGTTAACCGCCGGTTGGACGTCGAGGGAATTGAGCCAAAGAGTGAAAACACGTGCTTCTCGCTCTCCTTCAGCATCAAAATCTTCAACTTGAAGTTTCTCTTCCTCAGTGATCGGATCAAGGCCAGGATGGGTATTGAAGAGATGAGCAACAAATGCCAAGTTAAGCTTGGGATTCCCGGCAACCAATGATTTTGGTGTCAAGAACTTCCGGCATCCAAGTTTGTCGGCATTAACAAGCACCTGCTCGGCACGTTGCATAAGATCGCGTGTCTGCAGAGGCGCACGAGAGCACTGATCCGGGGCAAGCTGGTTGAGCAAAACAGTGTAGTTCTCGCCATCGGAGACATCCTTGCTAAAATTTGCAACTCTAAAAACGATCAGCTAAGCAAACCCATTGTACACAAGGAAAACATACCGTCTGTGCCAGTTCGCGGCCTTAAGGTGAAAGTTGAACCATCTCAACAGAATTTGTTCTGGGGGCAATCTCAAAAACTGTTCCAGAGTCTCATCATCTTCCAACAATCTATAGAGCTCCGGGTGCAACTTGATATCAATCTTTCCCAAAAGTCCTCTCCGAATGACCTGCCAGATCAACCCCAAAATCAAATGTTCCCTAACTTCGATAATATCACCCGACCCAATGTTGACAACCGAACACCCAATAGCCTTAGCGGAGTTAATAACAATGTTATTATTCTCCGTCATCTGAAACTGATTGAGCTTCTTGCTACGGGCATTCGGGCGATTCAAAACACGTTCATCGATAGTATCCGGTACCGAGTCGTTGATAAGCTTCGCAAGAACCAAACCGTCCTTGCATTCATCAAACATCTGGTTCGCGTCAGCACCAATCCAATTGCCATCCTGAAAATGTAGCAACAAACCTGAAAGGTGTCGGTAGGAAACGGCAGACGATCCCCAATATCCGTATCCCCAAGCAACACGGCATTGATATGTCTCGTAAACTCGGTCCTCTCATCCTCATTGATGGTGTGCGTCGTCGCACCCGTCGCACCCCCCATCTTAATCTGCCCACCACCACTCCCACCTCCGCGTCCTATAGAGCCAGCCCTAGCATGCGAGACCACGGGAGCACGACTCGACTTTGCTCCATCCGTCATTCTCAATTTTGAGATAAGCTACCAAGCAAACAATCCGTCAGCCCCATCCCAACACAAAATTCTCATCGTGAATAGTGACAAACATCAACAAAATCGTCCAATTCGACCCTCCTCGAGCTATCCAGCTCAACCTGCTTCAAAGTTGCGCGGACCTCATCGTACGGCTTCCTCTCAAGGTCCTGAGCAGTCTTGATGGCGGTGGCTTCATCCAAGTACCCCTTCTCGTCCTGGTCCGAGCGCAAAAAAGTGTCCTGCAGGGCCATGATGCCCTCTTGACCGAGCCCGGGGTACTTCCTAGCGAGCTTGAATACGTTCATCGCTCCTTTGTTTCCTTTGCGGTTGTTGGGTTGGAACGCAGATGCGGGGACGAGATCGAAGGCGGGGTAGCTAGAGACACGGAAAAGTGGAAGGCAAGTTAGAGAGGGGAAAAGAACAAAGAAAGAAGAAAAGCCAGGGAATGGGTATTAAATAGAGGATGTGTAGAAGAGGGTGAAAAACTAACAATTTTCACTCGGTTCAGAAATAATGAAAAGGCTTGCGTGTTCTGTTTGTGTTAAGCTTGTGCGGAGATGGCAAGGTTAACGCTAACGTTAACATTAGATGGATATGATAGCCTAGATGAGTGGATGCATGGCGGGGCAGTTTCCCCGTTCCTCGAACTTGGAACGGGCTGGGCAGTGCACGCTGGTGACGTTTTCTTGGTCCCTAGCAACAAATATCGCCCTGACTGCGAGAAGGAAGAAATCTCCCGCTGCTTGCGCTCCCACCAGCAATAGATTCAGTGAAACCACACCTCCAGGCTGAAGCCCCCACTCGCCTGAAAGGCACCAGTACCATCCTACAACAGCTGCGAAACTCGCGGCCAATCCCCCCCCATTGGATGACGACGGTTCCAGGCTTGGCCCACGGTCCTGTATTTGTGGCGCTGACGTGGGGCGGTTGGTGGGGTTCAACAGCAATGATTCACTCCAGCTCCTGTAGCCTGTGGCTCTGCCAAGAACCCTAAAAACAACAGTACTTGTATGACGAGAGTGCTCTCTTGGAAAATCGGCCGAGGTCTCCATATTCACTAAACTAATTGCTATGCACACAATTAGACGATCATATCGTTATGATTCAGGAACCGAACCCGGGCCCAATGAGAGGCCATGTTCTATCGTAGACTACAATTAGTCCTTAATACTCGAGTAGAGGAATTTCGGAGCAAGCAAGTCAACTCGCTTAATTCCAGCTTGTCGCAGCACCAAGGGGTCACAGGTTAGGATTCGCGTCCCCACTTACGTATCGTAAGGAGATCGCGATCAGATTATCGTCACAGTACTGTACGAGTACAGTACATGCACAGGTGCTTAGCAGGTCAAAGGTTACTAGGGCTCATATCACATCTAAGAGATATCATACCATACCGTAGCCAGCGATAATAATTCTGTTAGCTAAGCGAAGAGATACCAACTCTTATGACGGGAGTAGCCAGACTAGATCAGAGATCCACCTCTTTTTGCATGGGCCTCTAGCATGCTTGACTAGCTGGCAAACTTTTATCCACAATAAATAGAGATGCCACAACAATAGCGACCCCAATCTCTTGATTGCGAAATCCCCCTATCAACATAGCACTTGTACGGCCCAGGAGCCTACTGCAAGCACTCGCATTGAATCCGAGATTGTGAAACAAACCGCCGAAACACCCACGAACTCCAAATGCCGGGAAAAAACCAACAAACTCCATGAGTCTACGGTATCATAGAGGATCAGCACCCGTCTTGCGCCACTGTCACCGCCACACCTGTCACCGTCATACCGCCGTACCGTACTTGTTCCAGGAACCACATACCCGTCGAGATTCAAGGCTCATTCCCGGATTCCCACATGCGCGTCTGAAATCTATGATAAAAGCCTAGAATAGCGGCTACGCGGCAACCCCCGTGATACAAAATCTTGACCCTTAATCCGTAGCCTGCTTGTGACCGGCAACCGACCAAGAGTTTTGGTAGCAAGGATCATAAATTTATTGAATATTGGCAGCGGAAAAACCCCACAAACCCCAAACCAATGAAATTGAGAAAGGCCGGAAGGCAAGAGATATATACACAGCCCATCGAAAAAAAGGGCAAATAAGTGAGAAAAGAAGTTGAAATCAATTGCTCCACGGCAGCGGGAAATCGCCGGCCCATTCTGCCACTTCCTTCTTCAGTTGGACGAGTTCGGGGACAGCCTCTCCATTGTCGAGCTTGCCAAAGTAGTCTTTGAGTTTCTTACCTCCAACGGTAGCGTTAAAGTCCTTGGAAATCTTTACAGCTCTATCGACGATTCCCGCAACCTTCTCAAAGTCGGGCTCGGAGAAGCCGCGGGTGGTCATTGCAGGAGAACCTAATCTAAGCCCGCCGGGTCTGAGGGCAGAGACATCGCCGGGCACAGTGTTCTTGTTGGCAGCAACATTGACAAGTTCCAAAACCCTCTCAACTCTAGCTCCGTCGATGCCCTTTGGTTTCAAGTCAACTAAGACAAGATGGTTGTCGGTGCCTCCAGAAACGATCTCATAGCCAAGAGCAGAGAGCTTGTCGGAAAGTGCCTTGGCGTTCTTAAGCACCTGCTGTTGGTACTCCTTGAACTCTTGGGTTTTGGCCTGCTTCAACGCAACAGCAAGGGCAGTGATAGTATGGTTGTGAGGACCACCCTGATGCCCAGGGAAAACAGAGGCGTTGATGGGATTCTCGAGATCATACAGGATATCCTCGCCCTTCTTATTAGTCTTACGGACACCCTTGCGGAAGAAGATCATGGCGCCACGGGGTCCTCTCTGTGACATGTTAGCCTCCATACCAACATTGGCCGACAAGAGTAACCCACCAATGACTTGTGAGTAGTTGTAGTAACGATATCACTATGGGCAAAAGGGCTTTCGGTAACACCAGCTGCAACAAGACCAGAGATATGCGCCATGTCACTCAGTAAATAAGCATCATATTTCTCGGTAATTTGCTTCATGCGCGCATAGTCAATGATCCTGGAATAAGCGCTAGCACCAGCAATGATGATCTTTGGTCGGTAGAGCTCTGCGAGCTTCTCCATGTTGTCATAGTCAATCAAGCCAGTGTTTGGGTCGAGGCGGTAAGGCAAAGTTTCAAAGTACTCAGAAATCTTAGAGATCTTCTTCCCAGGAACCTGGTATCCATGAGACAAATGGCCGCCGTGGGGGAGGTCCAATCCCATTATCCTGTCGTGGGGACGGATGATGGCCGAGTAAGCGTACAAGTTGGCTGGGGCTCCAGAAAGTGCTGCCATCTGTTAGTGAAACCCCTAGACTGGATGAGTAATTAGTTCAAACATTGAACATTCACTCCCCACTCCTCCGGGTTAAGGTCGAACGCAGCCAAAGCTCGCTTCTGACACAAAGTCTCCGCCGCATCGATCCACTCATTGCCTCCGTAATATCGGGCTCCTGGGTAGCCTTCAGAATACTTGTTCTGCATGGGTGAACCCAACGCATCGAGAACGGATTGCGAAGTGAAATTCTCTGAAGGGATAAGGTTCACAAAATCCCTTTGTCTGTTTTTCTCCTGTAGCACGATTCCGTATTTAGCCAGCTGACGGCGGGCCGGAGGGTAGGTTGTGGATGACTCACGTGCACGAGAATTTTGGAGATTTCCGGGTCTGCCTCCGCCAAACTTGTTCTCAAGAGCTACGAACATAATCAGTTTAAATCCTGCTTGATAAATCCATGTCATAGAAGGAGCCAAGAGAGGCCTACTTTATCATGAGAAGCAGGAAGAATGCCGGCTGGGCGAGCAATTGAGGTAGAAAAGCCGGAGGCGCTCTTGGTGGCTTCTCCAACCAGGCGACGGGAGACTTGCCGCCTTAAGATTGAACGGGCAAGCATTTTAATTGATCCGAGCGAGAGGGCAAGAAGGGTTCAGTGCAAGCAGCGAAGTGAAGTTGGGAGGAAAGAGAGTATTCCCCTTATAACCAACAGGAAGCTAGTTGTGAGAGAGAAGGTCTAGAAGGAGAGGAGAGAAGGATTTGCGGGACCCGGCTATGGGAGCGCACTAGGAACGATCCACAGGCAACGGGTACAGAATTGCCAAACGCTTTCCGCGGTATAAGAAGCAAACTGTGCCAACTCCCTCTCCGACGTTTCCCCGTTAACAATCCGCCGTCATCCATCCTGCCGGTACCGGTATTATACTTGCGGTCACCGGTGTGCTCTCGAACGCTCAACCCGTAACAAGCAGTAGGCACTGTGCGGCGGTGGGGTTCGGCTAATAAAAGCCACAGCGAAAAAGAAAAAAAGAAGAAAAAAAAGGTCTTGGCGAAAAGCTGAGAGAACCGGAATAAAAGGGACCGAGACCCCACCACACGGTGCCTTCTCCCCCTTTCCCTCCTTCCCCACCAAACTAAAAACCTGTGATGAATGCCTTTCGGATGACAATTGCAGCTCTCGCGGAGCTTGGGTTCTGCGGGCGATGTTGATGTGTCTCTGGGTTTCTTCGCACTACCGTTAAGGGACAACTTGAGAGCATCTGAGCTTTTTCGGTTTGGTCGTATTCTATTTGTACGGTTGTGATTTAGGGGCAGGTGAAATACCCGATGGCGGTGGCAATTGGCCATCGGTATTGATCAACCATCAACCATCGGGTAAATTTAGTCACTTTCTTGTTGAAACACCACCAACACATCATACTTGCACCAGCCTTCCTATCCAGCATACCAGACACGTATTGTACTCGCGAAATATCCGCCCGATGCCTTTAACATAGGGCCTATAGAGAATACAATATTGTCCAATAGAGCGCTCTGAATGGCGAGTCCTATGTAAGTATTGTGGACCAAAACCAAGGGAAGGGATCCTGTACTCAAGTACCGCAGAAATGTAGACTACTACCGTAGGTACCGGTATATGGTACTGGTACTCGAGCACACAGTATCGCTCGTCACACGTGAGGACCGAGTGCCAGTACCGGTACGGCAGTGCTAAGACGGACCAGCCGCTTACGGTATGACACCGGCAGAAATCTTGGATAAATAAGCTCCCTGCCATGCGTTGCGTTGGTGCAACCCACCCTGCCAGGCTGCTAGGGAGCTGCATTGTCCAATGCGCGCCCACGATGAGTTTGCCCCTTGCGTGGTCTGCGGGCTGTGTTCCAGTATCATCATAGTCGAGGAGTGGAGGATCGGGTCGTCTCGTACTCGAGTACCGAGTGGGATGAAGGGGTAGGATAATCTGGTACAAGTACTTGTAGAGTGGCTCTTAAAGGCTGGTTTGAAGGGATGCGATGGTAGAAGTGCCGTACGAGTACTCGTACAATACTTGTACAGTACTCGTACTCCAAGTTTTGTGTACCGGCTCTTGGGCTTGATCTCCCAAATATTTTCCTTCAATGGCGGTCCACCGTCGGGATGATAAGAAGTGCGCTTCCCTGTTTTTATTTGGAGGTGGTGGTTCGCGGTGGGACGTTCGCCGTGATTGAGAATCCGGAAGTAGTCGTGGATAGTCTATCGTGCAACAATACCGGTATCATCTAAATGGATCTCTGCCTCTCTCGAGTAACTCAGACTAAGCTAAATGCCTCTCGTCAAACTCATCGCTACCACCACATAACTTTGCTGCTGATAGTACGAATCGTACTTCTTCCGAGGAGCGGTATGAGAATTGCCTTCTGATCAAGCACAAGTGTCGCGCTTATTGTGGGCCAATGCAGATCCGTCAAGTTCGAACTCTGGTTCTCCCCCCACCGCAATCCCTGTGGATCTATATACGGATCCGGCCATAATAGGAAGATCATGCATTCACCGCGTTTTTATCACGGCGAGGGACCTCTGTAGCCAGAACGGGGGGACAGTTCGTGCTGACGTAGTAATATCATGTTATTCTGCCAGGCATGGATTCAATGCAGGTTAATCCTATGGCGAATAGCGATCAGCCTTCTCTGCCAGGGGAATTACCGGTAGCTGTACTTAACATGTCCCAGGCATCCCATTCTCTTACTGAAAGCTACTCCAGTAGATCTGCCTTTAAACCCTAATATCTCCACAAAAACTCGAGGTGTTTTTATAGTATCAATGTGTAGATAATCACCTGCTCTATCAGCTAGAAGAGCCATAATTCTCTTTGGGGGTGGTTGTTGCAAATCCTTTGCGGATTGAGATTGGGTAATATTTTCTTGGCGAGGTATTGCGGCCAGCGGCTAAGACGTTCCACATCATGTTCCACCGGTTGGGTGGTTGCCGTGGAGAACAACGAGCAGGGGCCAACCACGCCGTCAAAACTCAGGTGGCGGTAGATCTGCTCCTACCACTTGGCCCTTTTCTTGTTTTTCTCAATCATCCTTTGTTTTATGCTTGCTTGCTTTTACTTTCGTCTTACCCTTTTTCTTCTTTTCTTTTCCCACTAGATCTTGCTATGATGAGATGATTTTTGTGTGTATGATACGACACTTGTCTCTACTTTTTTGTTTCCTGGGGGTATCATAACCGGAGGAAAAAGGGTTCGCGGGTAACGACACGCTATTGGTTTGGTTCCGTTTTTGTTCAAACTTTGAAGCGATCGAGCGAGCCCATTCCCTCTTTCCATTCATATTTTTTATTTTAAAGTGTTAGCTTCCATTCTGTGCTGTGTTGTGCTTACGCTGCAGCAAAGCAGCACACAGTAGTCTTGAGATTAGGTTTGCAGCTATCATTGCCTCACCGAATTTCTTACATTGCTCGAGTACGGTGCTCGAGTACTCGTACACTGCTGCACCGTAACGAGCGGACGGACAGACGGACCAGTACAAACTTTTGGTGGCTGCTGCCAATCCGTTACCTTACAAACTTCTTTCTCATCTCACGCTAACGCTCACAACCCATACTCGAGTAGTCAGTTAGTCTACTTGCCTTGCGTCTTGTCTTGCTTGGGCTTGGACAGACGAACGGACCGACAGCGAGAAAAACTCAGCTCGCGCCCACCCGCCCATAAAAAAGGAAAGAAAGAAAAAAAGGACCTTTTTTCCCCGGGAAAATTCCTAAACGGCATTTTTGTTCTTCGCTCATTACATCCTTGTTTGCTGAAAGGGAAGTAGGGAGGGATTTCCATAACGGAAGATACAGACTACCGGGTATTCACCGAGCAGAGGAGACGATAACAAGTTGCGGACGCGAAACGGACGAACCGACCAACGAACCGGGTGGAGACGTGGAGAAAGACAAACAACGCTGGCGAGGACAAGGAGACGGGATAACTGAGAAAAGTTGGGGTAGTAAGATTGGGGATAGATACCCTAGGAGAAGGAGGAGAGGAGAGGTATCATGAGTTCAGCGATAGCTTCGGCAACGGCGAGTGCGCTCGCGAGTGCTACTTCAAAGGCAGCGAGCGGGGGACATGGTCTCGGTGGCGCCGGAGGTCGGCCCCCAGTGTAATTTTCCCCTTCTCTCCCCTTTTTGTTGCTACTCGGTTCCCTCACTAATTGAGGGGAAAAAACAGATACAAAGCCATTGGTGTTGCTCTCGCTGTTTCCTCGGGAGTGTTTATCGGCGTTTCGTTCGTGCTCAAAAAGAAAGGCTTACTAGCGGCGAATCTAAAGGACGGGAAGGAGGCTGGTGAGGGTTACGGATATTTAAAGAATGCCTGGTGGTGGTCGGGGATGATATTGAGTTTGTTTTTGCCCTTCTTTTTTTCCCTTCCCTTCCCTCTCTCTGCTTGAAGGGGAGGGGAGGAGGTTTAGGGGAGGCGGGACTGTCGGGCTGATCGGTGCTTTTTTGGGATAGTGATTTTGGGGGAGATTTGCAATTTTTGCGCATATGCTTTCGTCGAGGCTATTCTAGTTACACCGCTTGGTGCTCTGGTAGGTTTACCCCCTTGCTGAGTGGATTTATTATGGGCTAGAAACTAATTGTGGTTGGGAATAGTCTGTTGTAATTACTGCCATCCTGTCTTCCATATTCCTCGGTGAACGGTTGTCCTTTGTCGGAAAGATCGGGTGCTTTATGTGCATAATCGGGTCTATAGTTATTGTCATCAATGCCCCGGAACAATCCTCTGTCAACTCTATTCAGGATATGAAACATTTTATTATATCGCCCGGTTTCTTATCCTATGCAGGGGTTGTCATACTCGGGTGTATTGGAGTGGTGGTGTGGGTTGCGCCAAAGTATGGGAATAAGAGTATGATGGTCTATATCAGTATTTGTAGTTTGATCGGGGGATTGAGGTTTGTTCGCCGGTTGTGTGGAATTGCAACATGGTCGCTGATGGGACTAGTGTAGTTGCTACCCAAGGTCTTGGTGCTGCGGTCGTTAAACAGGCTTCTGGAACCCCACAGTTTAATCAGTGGTTTCTCTACGTACTTCTGGTCTTCGTGGTTGTAACATTGTTGGTTGAGATCGTCTACCTGAACGTATGGATATCCCTGAAATTTTCGTATGCCAGGGTGGTAGCTAATTATTTGCAGAAAGCTTTGAACATTTTCAACGCAGCACTGGTGACGCCAACGTATTATGTGTGTTTCACAAGTTCTACCATCGTGACCAGTGCCATCTTATTTAGAGGGTTTAAGGGAACTCCCAGTTCTATCACAACGTATGTTGCCCCCAAAGTTTTCTTTTTCTCGGTGCTAATTTTCTTAGTGTTGTGATGGGCTTCTTGCAGATTTGTTCAGGCGTAGTGCTGCTGCAGCTATCAAAGAGTGCTAAAGATGTTCCAGACACAGAAATATTTCGTGGGGACCTTGACCAGGTGCGCACTGTTGCTGAGCAATCTGAACCGGAAAGCGAGCCCAAAGCAGATGCCATTCGTGGAACAGCAGCAATTATTCGTCGTATATCCATTGCCAGACAGAAGGCTGAGGTTGAAGAAGCTAGACGGATTAGGGAAGAGAAGATCAATGAAATGCTTCACGGGCCGAATCAGAACGTGGAATGGGATGGTGTTAGGAGGAGAGTTACTTTTAGTGCCCATGGAGCGCCTCGGCGGAGAAATACCATGTCAGGATCACATCCCCCACTTGGGATGTCTCGTATGCCGGACCTAGAGGAAGGCGTGGAATCATCAACCCCGGCGGCAGACGTGGGCCCTGGACGCCGGAGAAGCATGAGTGTCGATGAGGCAATGAGAGCGCAAGTCTATGGTATTCAACCTAACGAACCGGATCAACAGCCCGCTAGTATTGTGGAACGAGTCAAGAGCCTATTTATTCCTAGACAGCGCAGTTCCCCTAGTCTTCGTAGCGAAGCAGGCATCGCAACACCCCACCGGGATTTCCGCGATTCTAGCGCCCCCCCGCTAGCTCCGAGCCACACAAGCTCTGAACATCCGCCGCCCTTGCCAATGGTAGACATGTCTGCACCGCCCGGGACCCCACATCTAGCCGTAACCCCCCCTGTATACGAGCACTCCACGAGTACACGCGACTTCGCGCCTGGACAATCCTCCTCCAGCCACCGGAGAACAACAAGTAGAGGAAGCGAATACACTGCTCTCGCGCCACAAACATCCCCCCCAACTCCACCTCCTGCTCCATCGACCCCCGACCTTCGACCCTCCAGCGGTTCTTCTGGTGCCCGTCGACAATTCTCCTTCCAGAGTATGTTTGGTCGACACGGACACACCCACTCACGCTCGAACTCCTCTACAGTACACGTGGAAGAACCAGTCTCATATTCCGCCCCACATTCACAACTTCACCTCCCGAGATTAGGTCTGGGCTCCCGCGGAAGTTCTGCCCCCGGCGCAATTAAGACTGAAGAAGAAATGGTTGGGCTTGTCAAGGGCGATAGCCGGAACAATGCGCTGCCACCATACGATAGCGACGAGGAGAAGGGAAAGGCGCCTACTGCTAGCGTGCGATATGTCGAAAGCGATCCGGAGGAGGAGCAGGAGACAGAGCGGGAGGAGAGTTTGTTGAAGAAGTGGGAGGCTGGAGGCGGGCCGGGACGGTCATGAGTCATTTATTTTGGTTTATTTTGCCTTTTAATCGTTTTTTATTTTTCTTTTATTTTTTATTTTCTCTGATTTTCTTTAAAGGAATTGGATTGCCAGAATTAAGTCGAATGGAGGGAAGGGTGGGTGGAGCGGAATCTCTGTACATGTATTTAATCTGGTAGAGTATATAAAATGATACTGGCAAGTCGCTCTGTTGCATGATGGATCACTTGATCTGGGCCGTGATTGGGTTATCGAAATTCACAATATTATTTCAGAATCAATTTGTCCATACAATGATGGTGGGTATTGTGGAGTGTAACCTGTATCACTGGTGTTTGAAGTAGTTATACTGGTCTGCAGTGTTAATTTCTTAAGAACATGTTTCTCGGGTGTCTGTCCAGTATCCGAGTTCTTAATCACACTAGGAGTACCAAAAGCATTATCCCACCAACAAGATATCCCAAGCTGATAATTAAAAATCGGGTTCAGCTCAAATCACCTTTCTAGGGATTGCCTAGAAACCCCAGAAGCCCCCCGGAATCTCCAAAGCTTGCCAGAGAAAAGCGGAAACCGATGCAACTGGTCTGGGTGTCTAACCTCTACTTGAGTACGGGTACAGTACAACTCGGCCCTTTCTTTTCCACAACGTTTATTTTTATCGGTCAACATAACCCCTAATTTGCCACTGCAAGTTTTTTGCCATTTTTTTTTGTCCCTGCTCGGGTATGATATGTGGGGAAACAGCTGTTTTCTCTGGCTTACCGTGCCGGCAGGAGAGATTATACGGGTACAGGTACTATGCGGTAATAAAATACCAGGTCACTGATTTGCTGCAAGCATGGTTATGTAGGGAGTTGATGGTTGTGAATATAAAGTTCCCTTCCTGTGAGAAGTTTGGCGCCTGAGGAGTTGTAAGTGATGTATGATATCATAGCTTTCCCCATGATACTAGGTTTGCTTTCCATTCTTGATATTGTGCCCTGGGTTCTTTTAGCATTCTTTCTTTAGTGCTGTACCTTGTGATTTGGTTCGAAATCCTGATACATGATGAGGCATACTGTAGCTGTATTCGTTAAGTAACTTACGGAGGTCCAGCACCTAAGTTTTGTACTAAGTATATTTTACTAGCTAGGAGTGTTGGGCTAGCACGAGGTGGATTGGGTAGCCGCGGCACCGAATTGGGTAAGATAGTCATTATGACCAATTCCACACTTTTACCCCTGCTGGCCGAGCACTCGTTGCTAGTAAGATATACGAAAGCTTAGGTGCTGGACCTCCGTAAGTATTGGTACCGTATTCCATCGCAAAGCGAGCTAGCCCACAATACTTGTAGAGAATGCCTATAAGTAATCCCTGCCCTATAATTATTACTCGAGCACTGGACCCCTGGCTTAGAAACTACAACCACAACGATGAACGAATTTGGTAATACTGCAGTAAAAAACAAACAGTTACTCGTCCCAAACAAGAAGTATTCAGAAATACGAGTCGTGACTTTGTCTGTGGACTCACACACGCACTGATTTTCTGCCATATATTTTGCGAACCCCTGTTCTCGAATACTTCTTGCCTGGGGCGGGTACAATCGTGGAATACCTAAATACACACCCCGTCCAAATACACACTCGCTACTGATTGGTCGAATCCTAGTGATCATCGCCTCTTGTACAGGACAGCCGGTGGAGACTGTGTATTTGGCCAAGTAGTGCACTTGGGTGTTCCGTGATTCAGTCTTGGGGGGGGGGGGTGAAGTTCGCGGAAGCAGTATGATACTGTAGCTGAAACCTCACATGTGCTTCCCACCCACTACAATCATTCAATAGCTATATATCAAAAATGAAATAAAGCTTATTCAAGTGCTCTCCTTGCCTTTACAAGGGCCCGGCATAAAATCTTCGCACACACCAAAGTGGCTTACCAGCAAATAATCCTTTAAAACTGGTGAGGTCACAAAGTAGTGTGCTCGATCGCTACGCCTGCCCCTTGAATGATACTACGTAGTTGACCCACCATGTGCCTGTCGTAGCATTTCTATACCGTAAAAACTGTACAGTCGCACCTCGTTGTAATGGACCTCTTTATATGGGAAACCTCGCTATTACGAATGAGCCCTCTGGGAATTTACACCCCTGCCCCCATCTACTCCAATACAAATTGTTCTCGCTATAACGAACGAAAAATCCGGAACTCTTGGCGTTTGTTAAAACGAGGCGTGACTGTAATAATCGAGCCGTGTGCTATGTAGTGAAGAGAATTCCCTACCTTTGGAAAAGGGGCGAAAAACACAGCAAAGAGCTGCTCAGCTCCTTTGAGAGACAAAACACATCAGACCTTACCAGAGGAGGCAACTCCAACGACATAACAAAGTAATATATATGTATGATATGACAACCGTGGTCACAATCATCACGTGATGATACAGGGCCCTGCCCGAACTTTGGTTACCTTGTGTCTACCAGATGTACTTAGGTTTCGGTTTAGACCTTCACCGATTGCTAGCGGTTTGTGTATCGGCTGTAAACCCCTGTAGATAAGAACAATGGGGAACCAACGATTGAGTATCTCAATAAAATGGTACTATGTCTTTTAGGGTTCGGTATCTGTGACTCGGTTTTCCAAGTAAGTCCCCGCACGAATCCTATTTGACGCGGGAAGCGAAAATCCAGTCCAAGTCCAGTCCATCTCTGATCAAACACACTCGGGTCCAACGTCTTGACTTAAGACACAGCCTCCAAGGTCACCGGAACGCCCCCCCGTACACCCACCCGGACAGATACTCATTGGTGGGTGTTGTATGGGGGGCGAGCGGTGATCAGCACAGTTGCCACACTCCACCTAATAAACCACTGGAAAGTTTCTTGTTTGGGCTAGTTGCCCGGGTCAGAAGGTGCCCGGGCGGCCTATCATTGGAGGCCAGTCCAAATACTGGCTCACCAAACCAGGCTTAAGCCTGCGGTTTTTCTGATATTCGGGTGCCTTCCCCATGCCGGCTCCCGTGCCGGCCGGGCCACTCGCCTACTACTCGAGTACTCGCCTACTCGAGTATACACTACGGGACCGAGAAGGGTTAGTAGAGAGAGAATATCTCTACTCGGCTTGGCATACCAAGCCTTACATCCCGAAGGGGACTACTATCTCCATAAGTGAGTGTTGACCTTTCTCACCACTCATATGTCCTCACTCGGTAAAGGGTGAAGCCATCTGGAATGATTTTAATGCATATTAATATCACATAGTGTACAGGAGACCAACAGCTACTGAGCGAGGCTCTCAATCTGCTCTTGAACTAAAGAGCAGCAGCTTCAGACCGTGATGTAGGGGGGGGGGAACTCCTATTACTTCTCGCAACGCGGGATACGTAATCCCCCCTACGAATCGAACACCGAGCAGACACGGGGGGAAGACAGAGAGACAACACAGCTTCGTAGGCTATCTTCATTTCCTCTCCCCTTCTTCCCTTCCCTACTTCGTTACTCTCTTTCATACTTACTTCCATACTCCTTGCTCCCTGCCTTCTAACCTTCTATTTCTAGCCTTCATACATTTCTCCCTTCTCTACTATCCCCTCCCTCCACACCTCTCTCCTACACCCGCAAGGGCTCGTGAGTTTTTTCTGACTCCTACCCTCTTTTTCTCTCACGTTCGGTTCTTTTCTCTTTCCGCCTCTCGGTTTTTCCCCGACGCTCATCCCCACTTGCGGCACCTCCCAAACTGCTTAAATACCCACCTCCCCCCACCTCCCCCTTCCTTCTCCCTCGCACTCCTCCCTTCCTCCCTCAATACCCACCTCAAATCCATCACTTTTACAGCTGGTGGTTTTCCCTTCTTTCATCAATTCCTCCCTCTTCCATTCGTTCACAGTCGACTTAGCTCACTTAGCTACCCGCGAAACTCTCGCTTTTTAACCTTTTATCAGGTTTCCAGCATGTCTGACGAGTCTGCTTTCGGGTCTTTGACCCACAAGATGGATGAGTTTTCTCATGTGAACATTCCCTTTACTTTTATTTCCTCCTTTTTCTGGGTTTCGTTTGAGTTTTGCTGACCATTGGATAGTACTTGAATGGCCAAAGCGCTGCATTTGGAGTTTACGGTAGCCCCAAAGCTGCCGACAAGCTTTACACCAATGACCGCAATGGAGAGTTCGTTAGAATTAACAGTGGGTTTATTTTTTCATTTGATCTTGAGCGTTTTTTCCCTCATTTTTCGCAACTGACTGCTGTAGCTCGCTCGTCCACCGTCTCGGGTCCCTACTACCTCTCCGATGCCGGCAAAATTCAATTTTATAAGAATGACAAGCCTAGTGAGTTTTACGGCAAGGAGGCATGCCTCGTTCGTAATGAGACCGTTAGGGGTATCTTTGTTGTTAGGGTTCCCGCGGGCACTCCGTTTAATCTCATCTTCCGCTACAAGGACCTCTTCGAGGAGCGCAAGGCAGCGGTCGAGCGCCAAAAGGAGTATAAGCAGGGTGGCCCGTATGTTAGCGAGCGTGAGGTTGGGGTCAATTGCGGCCACGCCTCTCCGGTTGAGGTCCAAGACCCCCTTGCTCCTCCTGCCAACAATGGGTTGATGTATCACGGGACTCCTATCTTTGTTCAGAATAGCAGCGGTAAGGGTAACTTTTGGGTCCCTTTCGCCTGTGATAAAAACGAATTCCCCGTCATGATCAAGCGTATTCGGGATTGCTTGGGGACTACTCTTGATGGGGAGGCGTTCAAACTGGTTGGGCAGGATGGACCTACTGAAGATCCAAATCATCCACTCTATGAGTACGGCACTTTCTTTTGGTTGTTTTTACAATAGTGCTGATAAGTGGAAACAGCGTCCACGAGTATCAGAAAATCTTTTCTGGCATCCAGACTACTAGGTTATTGGGCGAAAATAGTGGGGGGTATGGTCGTGGGTTCACCAGTTCGGTAAGTATTTTCCTGAGATTGGGTTCGTGGGGAGGAGAGATTTTGATATTCTTGTCTTTGGATAGCTCGTCCTTGACGAAGAGAGTAATGGCGCATGTGCCGGAG